AAAGAGTGTTCTTGAAACAAAGTGTGATTTATTCCCCATCTATTAGAGGCATACAAAGCAAATGGTATGGACAACCAAGTCCTATCTACACGATTCCCAAGCCATATAAAATTTCCTTGAAAGCTTTGGTACATTTCATTAGGCACAGTCACCTCCGTCTCTGGACTGGGAGAGTGGACAGCCATGCACTTCATGTCCTGTATGTCTCTGTCAGACTCTAGCTGCTGCTACTGGTCTGTTCCTGCCACCCTGATCCTAGGTTAACTCAGGACCAGTACACTTCATGCCAGCATAAATGTAACCAGGGCATTCCCCAATTAATAGCTTCCCTGATGGTTTCCCTAGGAACCCCTGCCATTCTCTTATCTTTATCTTTTTCATTTCCTGCTAGTTTCCCTCTTACAGCCTCCACTGATTCAACTCTCTGAAGACAAGCATGGAAATACCACTGTGGTAACAGGTGCACATGTTATTTATCAATGGTAAAACAGATGGAGCTATTCCCCATTCTCCAGATGGAGACAGGAGCTTGGGAACAACCCCTTGATCCACCCTCAACCTATTTTGTCCCTGTCATCTCCCAGACAGCTACTTTCCTCACCTCCCCTTCCCTTCTCCCCTCTTCAGAAGCACCAAGCTTGGTGGGTACTGATGGTAAGAGCAGAGGGGGAATGATAGTCAGCCTGTCCATTTCCCAAATTCCTGATGGGTGTATGACAGAGACAGGAGTGGGAGCTGCAGAATCTCACTGGAAGCCCCAACCAACCACTAACATTTTCTTATTTGCACAACTGCAAATAAAACAGAAGTATAAAACCTTCAGTCCCTGCTCAGACACTGACCACATCCCAGCAGTGAGGCCAGGCACCATACTTGGAGAAAGCCAGCTTCCAATCCTCAGGTCTTATGGGAAAAGTGGAAATGGATGGTGCAGCCTTGTATTCATGAATTAGTCTTTCCCTGTCTGTAAGACATGGAAAGAAAAGCACACCCCTTCTTTAATGGCCATAAATGAATGTTTTCTATACTTTTGCTGGATTTAAGGTATGTTCATGCATCAAAACCACTTCAGACCTAAACAGCAGAGTCCAAAACTGGGTAAAATACTCCATTAAAAAAATCAGATTAGAGGAAATAATCAGAGAACTGAGGCTGGTTAAATTTTCTGATAGCTAATTTCATGTCAGAATTCCGCTGCTGATTGTTATCTTAAGTGGTTTATTTAAAGAGATGGTCAGGTGGTAACATCACCATCAAAATGCTTTCACCATCATTCTCAAGCTAATGTAATATAACGATCACTTACACTTTTGCTTTCTGTCTCATGGAGAACAATATTTCCCAAAGGATCTTAAAGTACTTTGCAAACTATCAAAGGAGGAGATGGTAGCATGACCTATTATTAAGGTTGCTCAACATTTTTCAAGACTTCAGCCTTTTCATATTTTTGACAGGATTCAACTATTTAAGATAAAATTTTCCATGCTGGATGTCTGCCTTCAACTTATTTTTCCCTAGAAAACATCAGGCAAAACAGTTTGGTCTTTCTGAGAATGAAACTAGGAAAAACTCTGTAATGCCAAAAGCTCAAGAAACTTCACTGAGATTGGTGGGCACCCCTTCATTCAGGATATATGTAAAATGCAATTAGGTCCCTTTATTGCCTCAGGAGTCTCTGCTCAAATCACATGCTATAGCAAAGGCTGGTGTAGGATCCATGGAATGGAACCACATGGCCCAGATACAAGGGCTGGGGAATAATTAGATCTTATGTATGTGACTGGGTGTGTGAGAATGAGTCATTACCAGGAATCCTGGTTTTCCCTGATTAAAAAAATTGCAAATTCTTTGTTCCCCCCTGCCCTCCCCCTACAAAAAAAAAAATCCATGATTAAAATAAATGGGCCCAAACAGCCCTGCTGGTGCCCCTCACTCCCCCCACCACAGCCACCCCTTGCTCCCCTCCACAGCACACTGCCTCCGCAGTCCTGCTGGAGGGGGTCCCCAGCTGCCAGGGGGCCCCCCAGCTGCTATGGGTTCCTGGCACTGGTCCACAGTCCCCTGCCTCTGGAAGGAGGCCATAGCTGCTGCAGCGTGAAGCCCGGCTCCCCCTTACTGCCTGCCTGCTGTGGGCTCGGGAGCAGGAGGCTGGCTCCCCACTACTGCATGCCCTCCTCATGGGGCAGGGGGGACCCATACCCCCCACATTTGAGTGTGGGGAGGGCTGCATGCTTGGGCAGGGGGGTGGAGGGACAGCTTCCTGGCACTGTGCACACTGTCTGGGAGGCAGGGAGGATGCACGCCCCCCAGAACTGTGCGCATGGCAGGCACAAGCTGCAGGCTCAGGCTCCCACCCTGCTCCCCTACCCTGGGTCGTCTGCAGCCTAGTGGGCATGACCCAACATGGCAGGGAACAGTGGGGCTGCGCAGAGAAGCTGCCTGCCACTGTGAGCTCCGTGCTGCCTTGGCGACACTCCTTCTGAGCATGTGGCTGCAGTGAGGGCAGTGGAAGTGTCACCAGGGCAGCGTGGAGCTTGCAGTGGCAAGCAGCTGCTCTACGTGGCCCCACTGTTCCCTGCCACACCAGGTCATGCCCACCAGGCTGCAGAGGCCTCTGGGTAGGGCAGTAGGGTGGGAGCTTGAGCCTGCAGCCTGTGCCCATCTCCACCCCTGCCCTATACACAGATCTGGGGGGCACAGGTCCCCCCTGACTCTTGGGATTGTGCGCAGTGCCAGAGAGCCAGCCCCACCAGCCTCGCCCTCTGGACAAGCTGCCCACAGCCCTATCCTGCTCTCCACTAGGGCCCTGCAGCTGCATATTGTGGCCCTGGGCCCCAAGCCCTATGCACAGCTTGGCTGGGCAGCAGCCCCAGTCCCGGACCCAGCCCTGCCCAACTCCCCCCACTCCCTCCCTCCAGGGGCTCAATAGCACCTCCCCTACCTACTTACCTGCAGGAGCTGCTCTCCTGGCTCCTGGGGACATGTGTATGTACTGCCCTCCTCCCACTCCCTCCCAGCTCCCTGCAGGCTGGAACCCTGCCAGCCTGCAGGGAGTTCATGGCAAAACTGCAAAATCTGCAAGCTTCTCCAGTAAAATGAGAAATCCACCTTTGTCTCCGGTAAAAGGTAAAATCCGTGGTTGACTCCATTTCTCTGTGGGAAATGGAAAACCCGGATCCCTGGTCATCACAGGAAAACAGAAAGAAGTAAGCAAAAAGCACAGTTAGGGAAGGACTTAACACCATAACCCTGTGAAAAACTGAGAGGGCATTTGGGCAAAATGTAGTCTGCCCTAGGATTGTACATGAAGAAACTGCTTTTTGCTGTCTGATTGCTCCTGTCCTTAGAGAAATGAACTTTATGTGTACTCATAGTAAATGAACATTGCATCATCAGCTTCTCTTAACTACTTACAAGATGCCAAGTTTCGTTTAATAGCTTAGGTCAAAAGGGGTGATGGTACAGTGTTGCCTTCATGCTCACATTTTTTCTTACAGCTTTTAATTTTTTTTTTTTTTTTGGTGATGCTCTGGTACCTCCTTCTGGAGAAGGGATCCAGAATTTGGTCAATGGAGGCCTTTGTAGGTATGTATACATTGTCTCTATACCACACTCAAGAGTACTGCAGTGAAGAAAGAAATTTCCATTCCACATGTGCTATATCCCAAAACAGATGCAAGGCAGCTGCTTTAGGTGTGGTACTGAGCACATACCAATATGCACACCTGAAACAATAAGCTCACTGTTACCTGGTCAGCACTTTTAAGGAAACTGAGTGATGGCTAGAAAATGATATTTAGAGGTTTGCTTTTAGGAACTGGCTTGTAGGTAAAGTACATTTTGCATTAGAACAATGGTTCAGGGGAATGGCAAAGGTTAATTGGTTTCAAAAAGCTTGTTTGTAACAATTTTGCAGCCTTCAAGGCAGACTGAGGCCAAGGGACAAACAGGCTGGGAAATTTGTACAG